TGGAGATGGCTGCTCAGAGCCCAGCTCAGAAGCTGTCCTTGAACACTTTGAGGGCTGAGGCATTGAAGTACTAAGTCCTGAGCAAATGGCCCTAAGGCAGCAACAACAGGTCTTGACCAGAAGTTGATCTCTAGATTTACCTTCTAACCAAATGTTATCAATATCTGCTCACTGGCAAAACATGGATTTACCTTTCCCTATTTAGAAGCTGGACAAGGCCACATCTGGCCTTCTTTTGTGGTGTAGGGTCACAGACAACTCCCTTGGATCCTCCTGAAGGCCTCCAAGGCCATCGGAGCATTTCAATAGGAGAATAAAACCAGATATTCCTGCTATAGAAGTTATGGTAGCTTGTTTAGTCAACAGGATAAAAGAGGGCCCTGTCCCAGTGCCGTCAAAAACCTCATTGCCTGTAGGAGGTTGCATCTGTAGAATTTCCTATTTGCGAGGAGTGTTTCCCCAGTATTGTGACAGTGGCTTCCCCCAGTTGAAAGGGCAAACCTGGATGATGGTAAAGTATTAGGGTAACTAGTGATGTATTTTCACCACTGTAGGCAGTCTTTTATAGTAATGATTAGATGCATTGCTTAGCTTATCCTTTTGCAATTCTTTCCAGTTTTGAATTTCAGTAAATTACAGTAATTCCTGAAGTTGGTGTCTGTGTTGTCTCTGCTGACCCTGACTGTGGGAAAAGCAGGATTCCACACTGCTCTGGGTAACCTATGCCTGAGCCTCAGTGCCTTGGAGTGATTTATTATGATAGTGTATTCAGATATCCTCTGTTCCCTTTCCAGAACTTTTTATTGTGTCTTTAAGACCCCTCAACCCCAGGACCTTGCACGTTTGAGGCAGGGGGGACCAAGTGTTTTTGTTTTGCATGGTTATTTTTTAAAAGCTCCCTGCTCAGGTTTCTCAGGGCACTGTGTGGTGTGATTTTATCATGGCTGGCTTGGTTTTTGCCTAGGCCAAAGTTTTTTTCTTTCCTTGTCTTGGAGATGCTGCAGTAGTGATTTTTGGCCTGCTTTGAGGCAAATAGAGCAGCTGCTTGTCTGAGACCAGGGACATCGCACCAGCAGGAGCAGAGCTTCCCTGCTCCAACCCAAACCACTATGAGCTGTGCCAGGCTGTGGAAAAAACACACCAAATGGCTCCAGCCCAGCTATTTCCCCTGCCATGACTGTTCTGCTGCTCTTTGCTGTGGGGTGGAGGTTGGTGTCAGATGAGCCATGAGGCTTTCATCTACTGCTGGGCCTTCATCTGCTCCATGAGGCTCCTGCCTTCCAAAGGGGGAAGAGCTGATGTCATCTTTTATCATGTACCAGGAATGGGTATTCTCCAGCATTTTTGGTCTCCTTTTGTTCTGGTGGGGAAGTGAGGTCTAAGACTTTGATATGTACAAGCTATTTAGATTTTGTTTTCCTGCCTGTTGGCATTTGGTTATTTACTTTTTGTTTTCCTGCCTGTTGGCATTTGGTTTGTTAACAAAAATGTTGGGTTTTTTCACTTTTGTTTATTAGTATTCATTCCTTACTGGTGGAAAGGGATTTTTGCAAGTCTAAAGGAGATAACCCAGATGGTTCTCTTTTAAATTGTCTCAAAATGAGACAAAATTTGTCGCCCAACTTAAGGGGGCAGGAGAAAGTGAAAAATAAAAAAAAATATCATTCTTGTCTGAAAGACTTTGTACTGGGCACAACAGTCAATGGTTATCATGATGCCTGGCTCAATATAATGGCTTTGTGTCACCTGGGCATGTGTGCTTATCCATATATATTGGCAATCTCGCCCCTGGTATATATCTTCTTCATATCAGGGGTGTGAATCCAAACTGCTGTGTTGATATGCTCTGTGCTAAGAATTTATGGAAAGACATCAGATGTAATGAGAGTTATTTGGGATGTGTATTCTCTGCTGTATTCCTGTGCTGGTCTTGGCAGACTTTTTTTGGGATTTATTAACAATTACACTCAGTCTGTTAGGGGAAAAGCAGGGGATGATTTTTCCCAGCCTTTTACCTCCTCCTTCTTCAGATCTGGCATGTCACCTTTTGAGAATATTCCATTCCCTCTGGATGTTAAAGATACCATATTTTCTTTTTTTAAATTCTGCTAGCTCTCATCCATAAAACTTACAGCACATTTAGAACCAGGGTTGAGATTTCCAGACACCTCCCCAGTGGTGGAAAATCCTGAGTGGTGTGGGATGTGGGAGGACATAGGCCAAACCCTGAGGGAATTCTCTGCCCCTATAGTTTGGATATTTCCCCCTGAATAAATTCAGAATCCAGCTAAGGTGGGGAAATATCTGAAAGAAAATTGCAATGACAGCTCTAAAAAGAAGAAGCTCATTGCAATGTGCCGGGCCCTGGCTAATGGCTATCACACACTGCTAGACACTGTAGGACAGCAAATACAGCCAGAGGGGCAGAAGGATGAATCAGCAGCAGACACCCCAGGCTCTCTGGCTGCAGCTAAGCCAGATGGGGAGCCTAAACCCCTAAACAGCAATTACCCCTGTCCAGAGAAGGAAACACAAAATCAAATCCCCTCACTCAGTGGATGGTGATGGGGAATCAAGACCCTCACAACCAGTAGAGGAACTGGAACCAGAAATAATCACCAAGTCTCCATCCTTAGAAAGCTTTCTCAATCTGAGAAAATATCTCAGCCAATGGCCTGATGAGTCTATATTATGTTGGTTGGTCTGGATCTGGGACACTGCAGGATATGGTACAATTTAGGATGGTACTGAAGAGAGGCATTTGGGATCTCTGTCACGTGATGTGGGTATTGACCAGGGGATTGCAAGGAGGCCCAAACCTCTCAGCCTCTGGACACAGCTCTTAACAAGTGGTGAAAGAAAGACACCTTCACCCAGATATTCAGCTGCAGCAAGGCCTCTGGAAGACCATGGAACAAGGAATCCAACACTTGAGAAAACTGGCTGTGCTAGAGGTCCTTTTCTCAGATTATGACCAAACCACTAAGAGTCCAGTCATCATAAAATGTACAGCAGTGATGTGGCTCAAACTTGCACAAATTTGGCCACAAATGTCCAACCCTGTCATAGCAGCACTGCAGTGGAAGGAGAGGAACGCGATGGTAGTGCTGTGACAAAGAGGCTCCAGTACTATGAAGACACTGTGCATGGCCCAACAGAACCAAAAATCTCAGCTGTGGAAACAGACATGGCAGAGCGTATACAGAAAGTGGAAAACAGGACTGAAGAGACCCATCAGAAACTCAGGAAGGAGATTAGAGGACCTTCTCCAAGTCTCATCAGTACAGAGCAGATGCCCTCTTATCAGATGCAACTGACCCCAGCTAGGGAGAGGGGGTACAGTCCACAAGCTGACCTGTGGTTTTCCTGTGTGAGCATGGGGAAGATATCAGTGGGATGGAAAATTCATTCCTGTCCTGGCAGCACAGGTATGTAAACTAAAGGAGGAAGCTACTAACAAGGGAGTTCCACCATCAGGAATGCAGGTACAGTTTCCCATAGCTGAGCTGCCAGGAATAATAATAAGGGAGAATGATATGTCCTCCCTGCACAGAGGGAGTCAATGGCAGCCAGGACAAAAAGGGCCCTGACCTCCAGCCAGGTAGATGCTGGGAAAAATTGGGTCTTTTGGACTGTGTGGATCTGATGTCCTAGCACAACAGAAACACAAAAATACAAGGGTTTGGTTGACACTGGTGCACAATGTATTTAAATACCACTGGGGCGTGTGAGGACAGAGCCTGTTTCTATTGTTGGGTCAACGGGGAAGTTGCAGCAATTGACTCTGTTGGAAGTTGAGGTATACTTGACTGGGAAAGAGTGGAGTAAACACCCTATTGTAACTGCTCCAGTGGTCCCAGGTATTCTGGCAGTAGATTTTCTCAGGAGTGGTTATTTCAAAGATCCTAAAGGACTCTGGTGGGCCTTTGGAATAGCTGCTGTGAAGACAGAGGGCATTAGACACCTTGCCAGGTGTCTCAGAGTACCCTTCTGCAGTAGGACTCCTGAGGGTAGAAGAACAGCAGGTACCAATGGCCACCACTATAGTACATCATCGGCACTACCACACAAACTGAGACTCCGTGGTTCCCATACATAATATGACCCATGAGCTGGAGAGCCAGGGAGTGGTCAGTAAAACCCATTCACATTTCAACAGTCCCATTTGGCCTGCGTGCAAGTCTGATGGGGAATGGAGATTGACTGTGGACTATCATCACCTAAATGAACTTACACCATCACTGAGTGCTGCTGTGCTGGACATGCTGGAGCTCCAGTATGAGCTGAAGTCTGAGGCAGCAAAGTGGTACACCACTATTGATATTGCAAATGTGTTTTTCTCCATTCCTCTAGCAGCAGACTGCAGGCCTCAGTTAGCTTTCACCTCGAGGCGTGTGCAGTATACCTGGAACAACTGCCCCAGGGGTGGAAGCACAGCCCTACCATCTGCCATGGATTGGTCCAGGCTGCACTGAAGAAGAGTGAGGCTCCAGAACACCTGCAATACATTGATGACATCACTGTATGGGGGAACATGGCAGGGGAGGTTTATGAGAAAGGAGAGAGAATAATCCAGAGTCTTCTGGAAGCAGGTTTTACTATCAAATGAAGTAAAGTCAAGGGGCCTGCCCAGGAAATTAATTTCCTACTGGTGAAGTGGCAAGATGGATGCAGACAGATGCCAACAGATATGATTAATAAGATAAGTGCTATGTCCAGTAAGAAACACAAGCTTTCCTAGGCACCGTGGGCTTTTGAAGAAGGCACATCCTGGAATGCAGCCAGATTCTAAGAACTCTCAACATCATGACATGAAATAAAAATTATTTTGACTGGGGCCCTGAGCAATAGCAAGCTTTTGAGCAGATCAAACATGAGATTGCCCATGCAGTAGCACTTGGGCCTGGCAGGACAGGACAGTATGTGAAGAATGTGCTCTACCCCACAGCCATGGAGAATGGTCCTTCCTGGAGCCTCTGACAGAAGGGACCTGGTAAGACCAGAGGCTGACCTGTTGGGTTTTGGAGTCATGCATACAGAATCTGAGGCCAGCTACACCCTAGCTGAGGAAGAGATTTTTGCAGCTTATGTAGGGGTTTGAGCTGCCTCAGAAATGACTGGCACTGAAGCACAGCTCCTTCTGGTACCCTAACTACCAGTGCTGGGCTGGATATTTAAAGGAAAGGTCCCTGCAATACATCATGCCATAGATGCTACCTGGAGGAAATGGATCACCCTCATCACAGTGAGCTTGAATAGGAAACCTAAATCAACCTGGGATCTTGGCAGTCATTGCAAACTGGTCCAAAGGCGAGAACTTTTGATTATCATCAGAAGAGGAAGAACAGGTGACATATGCTGAGGAAGCCCCACCATATAACCAGATACCAGAAAGTGAAGGATGGTACACCCTCTTCACTGATGGATCCTGCATGTTGTAGAGTCCAGTAGGAAATAGAAAAGAGCTGTATGGAGCCCTATGTTGTGAGTTGTGGAAGCTACTGAAGGACAAGGTGGATCCAGTCAAATTGCAGAGCTGAAAATTGTCCAGCTGGATTTGGACATTGCTGTGTAAGAAAAGTGGCCAAAACTGTACCTGACATTGACTGGTGAGTGGTAGCAAGCAGTCTGGGGGTGGCTGGAAAGGTGGTAAAAGGCCAAATGCAGTGTAGAGGAAAACTAGTCTGCACTGCTAAAGAATGGCAAGACATCACTGCCTGGGTAGAGAAGCTGATTGTTCAAGTCTGTTATGTAGATGTCCCTGTGCTGAAGAGTTAGGCAACAATATCAGGCTACAAAATCAAGGTGCTACAGATAAATTTGGATTGGCAGCACAAGGGGACATTATTCCTAGCTCAAAAGGTCAACAGGGCAAAGAGGCTACCTAAAAGTGGGCACAAGACTAAGAGGAGGATTTAACCATGGACAATCTAACAGATTATCCATGATTTGTGAGATGTGCTGATAGGACAAGGGAAAATGGCTTTACAGTGACAGAGGGTAGCTTTGTACATGTTTTCCATAAGGAGTTGCAGTTGTTTATTTTTCACCCCAACATGAATATTCTGGGGTTGAATAAATGAGTATCAAGTCTTGGGGTAAATTTGTACAGTATGTAGATGATTTATAAATTGGCAAGTTGAGATAAGAAGGTTCTTTCCCATCCTGTGGTGATTCTGTGCAGCACTCAGGAAAACAAGCACATCAAACTGCAGTTTGTGTCTCTGCAGCTGGCACTTTGGTTGTTCCTTCTCTTCCTTGGTCAGGCTTATACAGCCTCTCAACTCCTCCCTTTCTCTGCCCTCATCTCCTTCCAAATATGGAGCCAAAAACCCAGGGATCATTTCCCCCTGGCTCACAGGTGGGCCCTGCCTGTGAACAGCCTTGGTGTTGCAGGTGGTGTTGGCCCACACACCTTGGCCTTCCATGGCATTCCTGGTGTGCTTTCCTACTGTTCCTGCCAGGTTCCTCTCCCCAGAATGACCCCAGCTCCTCCTTTGAGTATCTGTGAAATGTGACCACCTGGCACATCAATCCCTCTTTGCTGCCCATGAAATCTGGCTCTGCCTTAGGGCACTGGCACTCCAGTCAGGAGCCAGGAGTTTCCCTTGTCAAGCCTGGGAGTTTCCCAGATGTGTTCCCTTAACTCAGGCTCACATCAGCCCCTAAATCTGCAGCCCATGTGCATTTGAGCATTACCTCCAAGGTGTCTGCTATTTTCCTATCCCTTTCCTAGGCTTGATGTAAAAGGTTCCTCCAGCCCACAGTGTCTCAGAGCACTCTCCTCTCTGACCAGGCGCTCTGGAGCTCTTTGGAGCCACTCTGTCCCTTGGTGCCCCCAGACTCATTCTGTAGGTATGGAATATGGAAGTCTTTCCCTTGCTCAGGAGTCAGAATTCAGTCAAAATCATGGTTCCCTGTGATGATTGGCAACTTTACTTCAACCACTACGTCAACTCCAGTGTCTGTGTGCACAGAGGAGAAGAGTATGGTCAGGAGAGAGCAGGGTTTTGACCCTGAGGCTGCCTTTGGATCAGGAAGTATTGCCACAGCAGGAAACACTTGCTATGCAGTGCAGCCTGCCCTGGAAGCTGCATTCCCTGGTTCTCAAAAAGCACTTTAAACATTCTTTGTGCCCATGTGGTCCAGAATCCAGTCATAGAAATGCTGAATGGAGGTGTAGACTCCAGGCCGCCTTACTCTGCCGCAGCTTTTTCCCCAGCTGGTCACTCCAACAACCCACCAGTAATCAGCATGACTGTCCTGGCACATGAGAGGACCACCGCTGTCACCCTGCAGCAGAGCACAGAGGATTAAGGTGGTGTTGGGTGGCCACTGTCATCACTGAGGCTGTCTGATTCTCTCTCACAGCAAGAACTGTATTCAGGTGCTTGAGCCTCCAGAAGCTTGGCTGTGAATGACTTGGGTTCTTGTAGGGTAGGGCTCTCTCTGTCATCTCTGCACAGGGCTCCTGGATGTGCAGAGGATGGATGTTTGGCACAAGGGGACCTCTGGGCTGCCAGGAACACTTTAACTGGGCTGTCTGGGTTTTTGGCACAAGGGGAGCCCTGGGCAGGCAGGGGTGGATGGGGAGTGTGTGGGAAGCCCCCAGAGCAGCCGGGGATGAGCTGGGGCTGGGAGGGCGACTGAGTGGCCGGGCAGAGCAGGCCCTGGGCTGTGTTGGGGTGGTGCTGCTGGGGGGTGAGTGGCTCGTGGCATGCTCCTTCTTACCTGGCAGGTGTCGATGAGGCCCTGTGGGTATCCAGCACACAAGTTGTGGGTGTGGATTTTCCCTGAGTACCAGAAGGTGCTGTTGCACAGATGGATATTGATGAGGTGTACCTTGGCCTCCTGCAGTTTATCACTGGGGGTATTATCTGTGAGCACAGAAAGAGACGAACCCCCAGCAGCTCGTTGCCAGTTCTTCTCCTTTGTCTGTGGGGGATCGCCTTCCCTACTGCATGGCTTTGCCTTTGCAGAGGTACTGGGGGGGGTGCATGGCTTTGCCTTTGCAGAGGTACTGGGGCACTGTGACCCCGCTGCCAGCCTTTGGGGAGCAGGCCAGGCCCATCTCTGCAGAGGTGCATGTCCTGCATCCTGACTTTGGCCTCTGCTGTGGGGAAACCCAAGCCCTCTCCCCAGTATGCTAAGCTGGCTTTGGAGTCCCTCTTGGAAACTCACCTTTTGCAGTGGTGGCACCCCAGCCAGCAATCCAGCAGTTATGCTCCTGTGACACTGACACTCCTAAGATAGCATCAGCCACACAGGCCAGCTGGATGTAAGGGCTGCACTGGACAGGGTTGCTCAGTTCCAGCAAGGCAATGTCATTGCTCATGTCACGTCTCTGATAGTTTTCATGACGCAGTAACTTCTTAATTTGGCGGACTTGTGCCCCAGGGCCTGGCTGAGTCAACTGGGTGGCCCCAATCACCACATACACCAAGCTGGTGTTACTGGAAGGTAGATGGAGAGAGGGCTAAGAGGGAGCAGAGCCACAGTGCCACAGCAGCCCTGCAGTTGCCAGATCTCTGCATGGCAAGGCAGAGATGGGGCAGTGCTCTGGCAGGTGTGAGTGCCCTAGCACAACGTAGGCTGGGGGAATGTCAAGCTGGAGGCTGCTAGGAAGCCTTGGCATGAGCCCAGGCTTCTCCTGAGTACTGTGGCATCCTGGCCACCTGAGAGGAAAGGGGAAGGGAATAGCAGGTGGTGCTGCAGACAGGGCACCTGCTGGTGTTGTGGGGATGTCCCCATTTCCTGCCCGTTCTTACAAAATAAGGTCAAAGCAGTGGGCTGCTGTGAGGACCCACTCTGCCCTGATGAGAGACCCTCCACAGAAATGCTTTGTGCCTGGTATCCTTGGATGCTGGATGCTGACGATCCAGGGCCAAGCCCCTGGCTTGGCACCTGTGCCACCCACAATGCGTGTCACGCCGTCATCAGGAGGTATGGAGTCAGA